ACCGGCGCCAGCCTGTGTCCCAGGACTGCCGTCTGCCTCGGCTCCGGCGTAATCAGTGCCGGGAGGGAGCATCTCCTGTGGAGGGCCGTTCGGAGCAATCAAGTCAGGCGCTAATTAACCTCCAGATTGTCCTCTGGAGAACTTCGTTCCTCTCTGGTGGCGGCACGGAGACGTCGGGTGTCTAAAGTTAGTGGTGGCGGACACGTGGGTGTCCCCGTAACCCACACCGCCTGCCGGGAGCTCTGGGGTGTTTCGGGAGGAGGTCTGTCCCCTGTGTGGGTGACCTTCGCAGGGAGCCCAGGTGGGTGACAGGGCTCACTCACCTCGAGTGACCTCCCGTGGAGGCTGTTGGTGCCAGGAATAGAGCCGAGCTCTGCCCAACCCCGAGGAGGAGGATAGGATGCGGGATGCCACGGAGCAGCTCTGCTTTCCAAATCCTAGTATTTTCCAACTCTGGTGGCGTTCTCTAGAGCCACATCCAGGTGACAAGCGTCACCACCCGGCGAGGACCAGCCACCAAAGCCCGCGGGGAGCTGTGCTTACGCCCTGGCAGCAAAAGCGGGGAGCTGGGCGCCTGTGCTGCAGCACGAGCAGTGGGTCTGGGGGCTCGGAGGAGCAGTGGGGGAGCTTTGGGGAAGCCCTGCTCTGCCCAGGGGGGTTGGCAGCCTTGGAGTGGAGCTGGGCCCTTGCTCTGGGGCACAGGGGACGCTGCCGGAGCATTTTCTCCACCTGACGTGAGTAAATCCTCAAGAGGCACCAGGGTTTCCCTTTGGACTTGCCGATGGGGCTCAACTCACTCCAGCACCTGCTCCAGCTGCTTTGCTTTACGTGCACGCCCACGTACACATCCCTGCTCGCTTTGTCCAGAAAAATATTCATGTGTTTCCTATTTTTCTCTCTTTTTTGGGGGGCAGGCGTTTACAGAGATCCAGAAGAAGCGGCTGCTGTCATGGAAACAGCAGGTGCAGAAACTCTTTCGGTCTTTCCCTCGGAAATCCCTCCTGGAGCTGTCAGGCTATCGGCAGCAGAGGAGGTATGCCAGCTTCTGGGGAGGGAGGGATGCAGCAGCTGGAGGGGCTGACAAGAGCGTCATGAGTGGGACCCATGTCTCCCAACAGGGAGGAACGGATGCTGCCGGGTTCAGAGCAGCATTTCGGGAGGGAGGAGGTTTGGAAAAGCTTCGGCAATAAAAACCCCAGGCGCTGGCTGGGAAGGGAAAGCAGCAGTAAGTTTGCTTGCGTGTGTGGTCGGCGCCTACCCCACCGATTCCCACCGTGTCTCCCTGGCTCCGAACGGCGCTTCCCAGCTGGGCAGCATATCCCCGGCACTGTGCGGCCGGCTCTGCCCCTGCTGCTGCCCTTTGCGAATTACATCAGTGCTGGAGTTCCACCAAAAAGCCATCAACTGGCAGAAAAAGGCTTGAAGGCTGCAGAGGGTGCAGAGCCGGGGGGCTGCGGTGGGAAAGCTGGGGAGGGCTGTGTTTGCTCACTTCCAAGGTGATGCTGGATTTCGGGTGATCCTAGAAAGCACTGGGGTTATGGCAAGAAGAGATATTTTTACATTAGTTTTAACAACATCAGCCTTTTGTTTCATTCTGCTAAGTCTTACTTTATTGCGGTCTTGTGCAAGTTCTTTTTTCTGAAAAAGAAAGTGTTTTGGAGATAACTGGGAGCACTGGGACAGCCAGGATGTGAGTTCAGAAGGAACAAGCACAGAACCAGAGTGTTCCCCGGTGGAATTAAAGGAGATATTTTGGAATGGCAAAACCCAGCCGTTTCAATGCTCGCGGCAGAATCAGAAGCAGAACAGACAAGGGCAAAGGTTTTTGATGGACCCGTTTGGTCTGGGCCATCACCAGCACAGCAGTTTAGCTGCACATCCAGGCTGACCCCAAGCACAAGGTAGAGCTGCTGACTTGAAATGATCCCAGTCCCTTTCCCGGGGCTGCCCGGGATGCTCTCCAGTGTCCTCGCTGCTTTTGGGTGGTTTGCATTTTGCGTTTCTTCTGCTCCTTCTGCTCCTGGGAAGCTGTGGGCGAGGAAGCAGCACGTGGCCGGTCCTGCTTTTCTCATGAGGATTTAATGGCAAGAGTGTTTTTTGGACCAGATTTAAAGAAACCCCTTCATACTCCTGCCTGGTAAATTTATCAAGTTTGGGATCCCAGCGTGCTCATGTCGTCTGAAGCACGTTTGCAGCCGCCCGCACAAGCGGGAGAGATGAGGGCTGGGAGGAAGGTGAGCTGAAGCATCTGCGAGGGCGATTAAGTGTTGGAGAGGGGCAGGGGGGACGGGGGGTGTAAAAGCAACCGCAGCTGTGGGTTTGCAGAGTGCTCCGATCCTCGGCTGTGCTTACCCCTGCTAACGGCACTGCAGTCCTGCTAATGGGGCAGAGACGCTGTGCGGCGAGGAGACCCGTGCTGCCTGTGTTTCCGAGGATTACCTGATTATTTTTGTGTCATTCCTCTGGTTTTAAGTGGAAAAACCCACATGGGGAGGGACGGTGGCAGGTCTGACCCTCCCCGAGGAGGAGGAGAGACGGTTTTGTGTCCTGAGGTCAGTGTCTCAGGACATTTGGGCTGCGTGGTCTTGGCTCCAGGTGGTTTTGCTGTGACCACAGGGAGCAGGATGAAGGTTTGCAGTGCAGAGATGGGAGTGGGTGCAGAGTCAGTCCCACCTCTGCGGGAACGTGCCTTGTGCTCAGCCCCTCCCGAGGAAATCTTGGACTTTTTAGGTCATTTTAACCAAGTTTTCCAGAACTTGAGAAGTCTCAGAGAGGACCGTGTTCATAAAAATGAACCTTCTGGAAGGGGAGACGGTCTAACCCTTCAAGTGTTCCCAGTAAAGAAAACCCAACAGCATAAGCTGAACCTTTGTCAGGCACTAGAGAATCCACACATAGAGATCCCTTTTGTACAGCTCCAAGGCGTCAGGAGTTTAAGTCAAAACCCAAGAAACGAGGCACCGCTAGCTCCAGTGCCTGGGGAATTACCTGCGTTATTTTAGCTTGCGTTCAAGAACAGGCCCATTTTGCAGGAGTAAAATAAATTTAAGGAAAAAAAAAATGAATCTGAGAACTGCGGAAGGGAGGGAGGGTGGCTGGCAGACGGGAAGAAGGAAGGGTGCTGCTGTTGTGTGCCCAGACCTCCTCCGTCCCGCTGCACGTGCAGGACGGAGGGTCGGGGCGGGAGCAGAGCTCACAGTGACCGCGTGGCCGAGGGCCGGGTGTGGGGTGGTGAGCATCGGTCCGGCGCTTCGCAGCAACGCGGGGGCACGCGGGACGT